GGACAGAGTCTGTGCCCAGGAGGGGGAAGCAGGGTGGGGGCCCATGAACTCAGGCTCCTCCTGAGTTCTTTCCTAAATGTGCCTGCTGAGGGCGGCCTGTCAGTTAGGCTCCCGAGGGACAAATGGCCGAGTGCGGTCTGCTGGTCGGTGAGTGCCTGTCCTGGCACAAGTGAACACACAGTCAGAGGACTGTCCGTGCTGCTGGAACCCTCCCAGCTGGGACTGGACACTAGGCTGGTGGCAATCAGGCGCGGGCATCGCTCCTCCCAGGCAGCCCTCTTCCTGTGCCTAACGTGCTCTGTCGCCCATGTCATGCTGCCCCGCTCGGTGCCCAGGTGACGTGGAGCTCTGAGAAGTGGGCACCTGGGAGCAGCACCCTCTTTCCCACGTGCCCGTCCCTGAGCTGAGTCCCAGGCCCTCCCCACAGCCCTGGCAACTTCCCACCAAGTGCCAGAGAGCAAGGTCCAGCAGAGGTCAGAGAGTTAGCGGAGACGGATGGCTGAGGAGCACGAGAAAGCAGCAGAGGCAGAGGGGAGGCTGGTGCCCTCTGCAAAATGACAGGGGTGTTCCCCAAGCGGGCTTGGGCTCGCGGGCAGTGATGGGCATGTGTGGGTTCAGCTGTGTCAGCAACTGCTGAAACACCCTGACTGCACAGGGCCACAGTGGGTCCCGCTCTCCAGATCCCCTGTGTCTGGGGCCTGGGTTTGGAGCACCTTGCTGCCCCAGAGGTTCTGGACTCAGGCTCCTAACACACTAGCCTCCCAGCCTCTCCCACCTGCCCAGCTGGAATGCAGAATGGAGCCCCGAGCTCCCCACTGCTATTCTTGGGCCAGCAGAGGTGGCAAGGGGCGAGGCGGGGTGGCAGAGCCCCAGCACCATTTCTGGACTCTGCTTAGAGCTCTAACTGTTCCCTTTCCTGTGCCTTCAGGGACACCTGGTTCCCAGAGAGAGAGAGAGCAGAGGTTCTGCAGGACCTGGACAGAAGGCTACAGGGCAGGTGCTCTTGTGGAAGCACTCCCAGGGCACCTCACAAGCCCCATGTGTGGGCAGCTTGCCAATGAAGGGCTGAGGGCCCCAAGCTGGCTCTGAGAAGTCATCCCAGCCCCTGTCTGCACAAGCTACTTTCTTGGGCCATTGGCACTGTGTCCCTTCTCCTGCCTCCCAGGGCATGTGCTCCTTAAGTGTAAATGCTCTGGACAGCCCCAGGAGGGAACATGCCACCTTACCCTGGCACTCATACAGTTGTCGCTGGTGATGTTAGCATCACTCCTGATGAAGCTGATGGCATTATTCAGGCTAACTTCCACATGGACCAACCTGCAGCATAGAAATTGTGGATAGACAGAAATAGCCCCAACAGACATAGTTCTTGCATGTGGATCAAACCACATCCCCCATTTCTTCTCATTGTAACTGATCATCAGGGATTGGGGCCACCAGTGAGCACATGGCATGGGTAAGGAGAGCTCACACCAAGCCCTTGAGATCAATCTCTGCAGTGAAGACTGACCAGGCATGAGGAGTCCTGCCTGGGGTCAGATGCCCTCCTGGCCATGGGCTAGGTTTCCAAGGAGGGTGGATGGGTGTCACCATCCTGACTTTTCTCAATTTGCAGAGTGTGTTGGCTTAGCTCTGATGGCTACCTGGAGCAAAGACTTTCCCTGGGGACATCATCTCCAGTAGTCTCCCTCCTTGGCAGAGACTGGGCTATAGCATATCCCTGAGCATCTCAGGTGACCACCAACAAGGAGAAGTGGAGAGTATGCCCTGAGACTTTGGGAGATACACATGTGCTGCCCCAGCAGAGGTGACATCCCACATCCTATATACCTCATAGTGGCAAAAACTGCACCTGTGGCCCTTGACCTGGGCACTTACTGGTCTGGTTTTTGTATCATTACTCCTGAGCATGTTATGGTGTTATCATCCACAGTGGTGGCTTTTTTATCTAGGAGAAAACCACAAGAGAATAATGTCAAGGAGCATGTCCATCCATCCATCTCCCCTCAGCTGGCCCCTGGCAAGCAGACTAACACTGGCAGATGCCAGCTTCTCTTTGCTGCCTTCCTCTGAGCCCCTGCCATGCACCAGGCTCTGTGCAATGCCTGGCTGGAATGGAAAAGGTTGAGTCCCTGCTCTCAAGGGCCCTACATTTGAGGGATGGGAGGGAGACAATGAAATAACAAAGAAGGAAATAAATGTGGAGAGGGACACTTCTTGAGACCACAATAAACAACAGAAGGCACAGCGAATAGAGGGGAAGGGACAGCTGCTTAGGAATGTGGGGCCTGTCCTGTCCCTAAGAGACACCATTTCTCTTAAGGGACTGAAACATTTACTGTGTAATGTTGTGATGTCTGGAGGTAGCTCTGGGTTTACCAGATGGCCCTGCAGTAAGACATCACGGCACACAATCTCATCAGGTCCAATGAATGCATTGGGGGGGCTCAGTGGGAGATAGTCCTACTGTACCACCTTGCTCTCTGGGGAGGATCACACCCATCTCAGCGTGAGGGCACATCTACGTACCCAACATGTGCTTCTACTGGCCACTCGCCCATCATGGAGGAATATCTGATGCCTGAGTGTTTCCTTACGTTATAGGCTTACATAGGTGATATGGTTTAGCTCGACTATTATATTGACTTCATTTTGCAGTAGAGGAAAAAGAAGCTGAGAATAGAACCCTCATTTGGTCAAGGTCAGACAAGTAATGTGTGCCTGTGCCAGGATTCCTGGGCCTGGGCCTGGAAGCTGGCATCCTGTCTCGATCCCAGATGCACACATTCTCCTGTGAAGCTCCCAGTGCTCCTGGCCCAGGGCTGCCTGTGTTTCTCGCCAGCAGACTCAATGGATTCGGGTCCTTGTCTCTCAAGGCCAGTGAGAGCTGAGCCAAGGGAGGGGGAATACAGCTCTGGGGCACACCAAGCACACCACAGCCATTCTTGGCAAGGGTTAAAGCCCTGCTAGGAGAGGCTCTTGTGGTTGATGACTTCCCAGCTTTGAGGTATAGGTCACCAGGCTTCCCAGCCAGGTCTCTCCTTTTACTTGATCTATCCTCACAGGACCCACAGTGAATGGTAAGCAAGGGCTTTGAAAACTTGGCTGGCTGAGGGGAAGGCAGCCTGTTGTAGGGAGTTTGTCACTTGGAGGCACCAAGAGAGCTACTTACCGAAGAATTTATCATCGCTGAAGCGGAACCTACAAATAACTTCCTCCTTGTTTATTGCATTATTAAATCCTTTTCCAGAAATCATAATTTCATAGTCTTCTGCAAAGCAACATTCAAAGGTCTGTGTGTAAGGTGGGGCCGAGGGCTGCTTTCCCTCTGTCTTACAAGGCATGTCCCCCCACAAAATGGAATTCTCAGGAAGCAAACATGTTGAAACAAACAAGGCTGACCTCTGGAGGCCAGATCCTCACCCAGTGTAATGGAGGGTCCACTCTGAGTAACAGGGGAGATTTAGGCTGTAGGGGGGCTTCTCATCTTCACCCCTGATACTTGGAGTCCATTAAAGGGACCCAACCTCATCCTCTGTATATACTAAGATTCTGGGACCCTGCACAACGAATCCCCCATGGAAGAAGTCCTGTCTTAGCTGTGGTTCTGGAAGTCTCACATGATTGCTCTTCCCCTGCCTTTGCCTGAGGCTTCATGGACTACACATAACCCACCTGGGGTTCAGCAAGCACTTCCTCTTTGAGTGTGGAGACACTGATATGTGAGGTGCAGGTCTAGACCCTAGACCTTCCCTAGGCTGCTGAGCCTCCCCTGAAGCAAACACCAGGGGATAGAGAAGACAGCTGGTAGACTGGTCCCTAAGGATTTAGCCAGGATAACATGTGGGTCTTTAACTGCAAGCCCAAGGTCATTAGCCTCCATCACTGCCTCCTGTCCCAGACTGGGTCATTCCAATCCTGGAAGCTTGGGTTGCCCCAGCTCAATTTATTTATCTACACAACCTTTATTATAGCACAACCTTGGACCTGGCTGCCCTTATTTCTCCTGCTTCAGGTCTCCCTGCAACTCCCATTGATCAGGGCAGTGTTTGCAAATTCTCTGCTTTGAAGAAAATAGATCCTGGGCCTGTGGCCCAATGCTGGCTGCTGTTGTGGTTTGTTAGGCATTCAAGTGTCTTCCAAAAATGGGTATCAACACTTAAAGCCTGCACATTTTCCCTAATAACCCAGATCACTAGCATTCTTCAAAAATGGGAACACCTGGAAATGGTGGGTTCATACTTCTGCATGTCAACCATTGGCTGGGCCCTATTCACATCAGGGGAGCTCCTCAGGGGCCAGCGCCTGCCTTGCTGCACTACACCCCACATGCAGTCAACCATCCTTGGCTTGGCCTGACACATGCCTCCTGCTCACGGCACCAGCCTGGCCCCTGAGGGCACTGATGGCAGTGGTCCACCTAGCGGAGGCTTGATGTCTGTAAGTGACACGTCCTCTCCCACACACAGTAACCAACAGTACAATGCTGCTTTGAACTCAGTTGTGCCAGGCTGCCTGCTCAAGGCTCACACTTCATAAGGACCCTTCCCACCATGACACAGGGCTCTGTGATTGGCCTGGAAGGAGCAGTTGGGCTTATCTCCTGTGCACCCTTTCGCCAGCCCAGCTAGGGCCACCCTGGGCAGAGCTTTGGCTCTCAGTCTCAAGGAAGTGTCATCTGCAATTTATATTCCAGGATTTTTTATTGCAAAGAAGCATTTCCTTGCAAGACAGAACTGTAAATTGACAGCCCACACTGTAACTAGATACAGGCAGAGAAGGGAACAGTCAGCTGGCTGCATGTGGACAGATCAGGCTCCAGAGGAGGCAAAAATAGTGAGTAGAGCCTTCCTGCCACAAGCACACAGGCAGAAGGAACCAGAAGTGGGCAAATCTGTGCCAGGCCAAGCCATGGAACACCGGTGTTCATCCAAAATGACACTCCTCACTAACTGAGCGTATACTATGGGCCGATCTACACTTTCCTTAACCTCTAATACCCGTGAGCTAGGCATTCCTACCCAAGCTTACAGAGAGGGAACCTGAGGCTAAGAGAGGGCAGGTGGCCTCCTCCAGACCCTTGGCAGGTACAGGGCCAGGATCTGACTTCAAGTACCCATTCCAGGACCCACTTCTGCCCCCTTTGCTCTTGTCTTAGTTCTGAGCAGCTATCATGAGGCTGCTTCAGAGGGATGGCCCATAGCACTTGCACTTCTCAGGAAGAGCACGTGCTGTCCATATGCCTGTGATCCCCTTCCCAAAGTGTGCACCCTGCAGCCTTCAGGCCCTGCTCAGTCACCACTTCTCCTCCGCAGCAGCACCCTCTGTGTCCCCAAGGCACTGCCCCTTTAGAGGGTCTTGTCACTCTGGCAAGTCTCGTTTAGTGGAAGGCAGGGTGATGGTGTCAGACTTTGAGCAGAAGAGATGTGGACTTAAAGGATTTTGCTTTGTCTAGTAGCTGCTCCTTGGTTCCAACACCCCTCACCCAATTCCTCCAACAGTAACACACACAGGAGGAGAATGAAGCCAAGGATGGATGAATACTGGCTTTCAGGGAGCTGTGTCTCCTAAGTAGAGTCCCACTGTGTA